CCCTTAGGACTGGGGTTGTAAGTCATCGTGTGAATCCGAGGAATCAAACCTGGGACCTCTAAAAGATCAGACACTGCTCTTGGCTGCTAAACTATCTCTCCAGCCTTGACGTATTTTCTCTTAAAACTGTAATGAACATAACTATATTCAAAACTACTTTATATATATATATGTATACATATATATATATCCTTTAATATGCATGTACATATACACACAGGCAACTTTGTAAACAAGTTAGCATTTCATAGTCACTACCTAAAGATGAGGGTACAGGAGAGACAGAGATTAAAGAACTGCACAGGAAAGTACAAAGTGGGGGAAAAGAAGGGAACAAAGAAAAGGGAACGAGAAATGGAGATAGGGGGGATGGTGGCTTTGGTTGGCAAACAGCCCTTTTTCAAAAGGGCTGTTGATCTGCAAACAGGTGGATTTGCCTGTATGCTTGGTTGGCATCCTGGCACTGAGCACACATGAGCTAAATGGAGCACATTAGAAAAGGGTGAATATGAGAGCCAGGAGACTGTTACAACACTTACTGTTCATGTCAAGACCTGCTTGTCCCCAGGGACCCATTTTCACATAATCTATAATTATCTCTTTGCTTTAATCGCCTTGTCATTCCTGAGGCTCTCATGGGCACTGGAAGAGGAAAAGCTCATTAACTAAACCTTTTTTCCTCTCTCCAGCCACCCATGGCTTTTAATTGCTTGGTGTGTTATTATCTGGGAGTGCAACTGGGATCATTTTCATAAGAAAGGGAGGTAGAGAGCAGGAAGGGAGCCATGAGTCCCTGAGGTATGCACCACAGGCAAACCTTTGCTTTCTCAATTATTTATGCCAGCTGAGGTTTTACAGGCTGAATAAATCCATAGCTCAAGTTCATTCTGAGCAGTCAGATCCTCACTAGAGAGTTGCCCATTTGCCTGTACACACTTGTGTATCCTCAAGAACAACCAGACTGTAACAAGACATGTGTCATCTAATTTATCACCGACCACCAAAGTGTTAACACCATGTTGATCACAGGCAACAGTAAAATAGAGAAGGATTACATCCACCAGCCAAATAGAGGCTCTTAGTGCTAACAACAGTGGTGTTTCATAATGACTTAGCCTGATGAAAGCAATAGAGCCCAAATGCTCCATCTTCAAAACAGAAAATATGTTTAATAGAGTCCTTAAGCAGACTTCCTAAAACCAGGTCACTTTAGAACAAGGTGGAGCTTTGAATAAAACCCTAAGAATTTTATACCATCAGATGTTACCAAATAGTAATAAGACTATGTTGTGCTGCTGCCTTTTATCCAATCACATATTGCTTAAAAATAAAAATAAAAACAGCAGTTTCTGTATCAGTGTCAGGCTTTCTATGCTTTCGTTCTAGTTTTTATTTTGATCAAGAAAATAAAGCTTTATGCTTTTTTTGTTTTCATTTTATCCTAGTTTTTTTCTACATTCTTCCTCTCTATAATCAGTACTAAAGAGCAACTAGCAACCAATGAACAGGTATTTTTCAGAATAGTCTCAAAATGTTACTAGTGCTTAAAAATGGAAACTTTGAAAGTCAACAATGAAAACATCTCTTTGAAATTCTACAAGCTTTTTGGTCTGACCACAGCAGTGACCTCTGGTATTTTCTGCCAAAACACTTCATTTGTCTCACAGAACAACTAATCAATTCCAGAGCCCATCAATCATTTCCGCTGTATACTAGACTGGTTTTGCTTAGAGAAGGTCCAGATGGCTGCCTGAGTAAGTGGAATTAAAAATTCTAGCAGATTATAAGGCATCAAACTACAAAATATACCAGAGAAGACCAAACCTTACTGCAGGATGGAGTGGGCATAACACCCTTCATCTATTCTACTTTTAATTCTTACCCTAATTTCTCATTGTACATGTTGACATCTAGAGTAAAAATCAAGCAGAAACTTGACAAACTTACATATCAAAGTACTCAAAAATAATCTGCAAAAGACGAGTGTGGTGGTACACATCTTTAACCCAGCACTTAGAAGGCAGCAGCAGGCAGATCTCTGTGAGCTGATGACCAGATTGGTCTACAAAGTGAGTTCTGAGACAGCTAGGGATACACAGAAAAACCCTGGCTTGAAAACAAAACAAAACAAAAAATTCCACAAAATACATCATTTAATGTCCTTTTTAAAAAACAATGATTATACAAAAAAGACTTTTCCTTTCATCCAGGTTGCTTATTTGATATTTTTAAAATTCTAAGCATTTCTGCTTTCATATCAGTTGAACATAATTCTGCCAAGAATTTGTAATTAACATCAGTTAAAGCACAAATTGGCTTAGAAAAGTGACAGTACCATATATCTCCCCCAAATACCCATGACATAAGCTTCAGAAAATAGCCTGTTTTCATTGCTGAACTACATTTTGATATATCTGAAGAAATTCCAAGTGAAGTACTGGTACTTCACTGCAGTAATCCAACACTTCAGTACAGGAAAAATTACTATGATTAAATTTACTATAACAGAGTTGTAACACGAGTAAAATGAGTTTTCCTAATGTAAGCATAACTAATTATTGGTTCCTACATCCACTGTAGTAGTAAGAGAAACTATGCTTCTATTGTAATAACGTGAGGGCTTTCAATGAATCCTAGCATCCATGTTTCTCTCCATATGTATGCTATGGTACACACATGCCCCACCCGGTTAATATTTATATGACTTGGTGAACTAACCAGGTTTACCTCCAGAAAAAGTTCCTATTTTGCTCAAGAATAATTATTATATATAGATGAAAATGCCAAAAGTACTAATAAAAAGCAAATGTGACACACACTTGTGATCCTAGCTCTCAGGAGACAGAAACAAGAAAGTCAGGAGTAGTGAGTTCAAGGCTGACCTGGATTGAATGAGACCCTGTCTTTAAAAACAAAACAAAACAAAACAAAAAAAAACACCCAACAAAATAACAACAAAGAAACAAAAGTACTAGGAATAGCAGAGCATGGAGGTGCACACCTTTAATCCCAGCACTTGGGAGGCAGAGGATCCCTGTGAGTTTGAGGCCAGCCTGGTCTACTTGGTGAGTTTTAGGACAGCAGGAGCTACATAATAGAGACCCTGTCTCAAAAAGCAAACAAAGTACTAAGAACACAATATTCAAAAGTGAAGAAACTGAAAGGCAATATCTCACAGTAGTTGTATAAAAATAGAGCTGAGTTAAAATCTCTATTTAATAGCTAGGCACAGTAGAGCACACCTTTAATCTCAGCACTTGGGAGGCAAAGGCAGATCACTGAGTTCTAGGCCTACCTGGTCTACAGTCCAGCCTGACATCACTCAATTGACACTCTTGGGGTGATTCTGGGCTGTACCAAGTTGACAGTTCATCCTAACCAGGCCTTCTACCAAGTTTGGAGACTCTCTTCAGATAATGAGAATAAGCAAACAAATAAAATATGATCGATCCTTGTGTTTAAAATTAAATCTAAGTGGGGACAGGGGAGCTTTTAAAAGGTTGCATATAATGTGAAAAATACTGTAACAAAAGTATAAACACTGAACAAAGAAGAAATTAGTCACTACTCTCTTATCTAGAAAAATGCCTCTAAGATGTCCAGACTTGATGAGAACATTTATAACCTGTCTCAATTCTAAAGATAATACAAATTAAAAATCCCCAAGCACTTCCTAAATATGTAAGACTTAAGGGAGGGGCTAAATTCTGAATATACTTTCAAAACTGTTACTAAGTGTGCTCAGGGTTCATCACAGGAATTCGGGAAACAAATGCACTCCAGGCCAGTGACAGCTGCAAAGGGCATCACCAATCTCCATGAGCTTCTCCCTACCTCATCTCAAATAAAAATTTACTACAAGTGCAGTGGTGTGAATGTTTATGGTCCCCACAGACTCTCGTGTTGCATGCTTAGCCCATAGGGAGTGGCACTATTAGGAGGTGTGGCCTTGCTGGAGGAGGTGTGGACTTGTTAGAGAAAACGTGTCACTGTGAAGGCTGGCTTTGAAGTCTCATATCTGCTCAAGCATGCCAGTTCACTTCCTATTGCCTGTGGATCAAGATGTAGAACTCTCAGCTCCTTCTCCAGCACCATGTCTGCCTGAATGCTTCAAATGGACTAAACTACTGAAACCGTAAGCCAGTCACAATTAAATGTTTTCCTTTATAAGAGTTGCCATGATCATGGTATCTCTTCACAGCACTAGGAACCTTAACTAAGATAGTAAGTAAAATGGTGTGCTTGTCATGCAAATGGATTCAAGACAGATTCCTAGAGTTTACTGATAGCCTGGTCAACAGCTGCAAACAGTGAGCATTTCAAGTTGTGACTCAAGAATCAGTAACTTCCAATGCTATCTGGTCATACTGCACGTTAGCAAATTGTGGGGATGCCAATTTGAGATATTTGATGTTAAAGAGAAAGTAAAGCAATGTATGGGTAGCTAAAAAGATCAAAAGCATTAAACATCCCCCCTTTATATTTGTAAAGTAACAAATCTTAGAATTGTCATGGCTTCTTACAATAGCACAGGATTCTCTTACTGATTTACACACAATGCTAAAAGAAAAGGACTATAACATTTTTAACACAGCACAAAAACTAATAGCTCTGTTAAATGATATATTCATTAAAAATATTAATTGTGTTTACAAATAGTAAAAGCACTCAATTTGGATTCCCAGAATCTAAGCAAAAGAATGACTGGTCCAGGTGTGGTGATCTACACCTTTAATCCCAGCAGAAGCAGGTGGATCTCTGTAACTTTGAGACCAGCCTGGTCTACATAGTGAGTTCTAGGATAGCCAGGGTACAGAGAAAGACCATGTCTCAAAAAACAAAAACAAACAAACAAAAAAAGCAAAGGCAAGGGAGGGGGAATGTCTCACAAACTGTTTATTTTCAGGTAAAAATACATAGACATTTATATGCACATATAACGCATATGCATGTATGTATGCATTTATATTTCTATTGTCAAAGAACAGAAGAGAAATTACCTGATTGTCTCTTCATGATATAGAGAACTAACAACTGGCCCACCAAAACCACTATTGGCTTCTTTTCCCTTCTTCTCTGATACCTATGGAAGAAAAAGAGAAATGGAAAAGGACATGGACTAAAGCATTATGTATTTAAAAATTATAAAATATTACTTTGCTAAGAATACTAAAATTTTACTCTCAACCAATTCTTCAATGCTAGTAATACTTTTAAGGTGATTAATAAATGCAAACTCATGGCAATCCTGCCTCAGCCCCCTGAGTACTGGGGTTACAGCTGCCATATCAGTCTGAGAATACTTTCCTTTAAACAAGAAAAAGTGCAAAATAAGAACTTACTTAGTTAATCCTCTATGTTTTGAATTTCAGCCCCACTGTTAGGATAAAGTTGGAACATGCATGGTGTTTAAATGCAAACTAGGAGTTGGAGAGACGTCTCCAGAGGACACAGGTTTAGTTCCCACCACCCACATGGTGGCTCACATCTGACAAGGGCGATCCAATGTCGTCTTCTCGCCTCTGCAGGCACTGGACACACATATGGTGCCAGGCATGCCAGCAAAACACCCATATTATAGAAATAAAGAAATAAATAAACGCAAACTAAATGAAGCTGAAAATAAGAAAACTGAAGAGTGGAAGAAGATGGAGGGAGGGGATGGGGTGAAAGTACTGTGTCTCTTAGAAACAAACAGTTCTTAGAGGTAAGAGTTATAAACCTCTATAACCTCTGATTTGGCAGTGACTTTTTTTTTTTTTTTTTTTTTTTTTTTGGTTTTTACGAGACAGGGTTTCTCTGTATTGTTTTGGAGGCTGTTGGTCCAGCCCGGCCTCGAACTCACAGAGATCCACCTGCCTCTGCCTCCCGAGTGCTGGGATTAAAGGCGTGCGCCACCAACGCCCGGCGGCAGTGACTTTTTTTAGATATAAAACCAAAAGTATGATTCATAAAGAAAAAAGTTAGTGGTCTTTACTAAGGTTTATAAACTTGTACTTTGTGAAACACATTGATGTGACATGAAGCTTCAAACAAGAAAATCTTGGCAAAACACCTATCAATAAATGAAGTCATCATCTAGATATTCAAATAATCTTTAAAAGCCAATAATAAGAAAGCAAATTATGATAAAGGTTTGAACAGACATCATTACTATGTTTGGGCAGGCTGTGCAACCTTAGGAGGTGACCCTGGCTAGTGTGAGCGGGCCACTGGGCAGGCCTCTGGGGACTGCTCTGTCCTGTATGGTCTGCCTGCAATGGCTTTCGGAACTCCTTCACCCCGCCCCCCAGTGCCTCAGCTGCTCCAGTGCTGCCCTCACCATCTGAAGCCTGGTTGCTCAGTCAGGTATTTCACCACAGGATGAGAAAGGTAACTAACGCACTGTGCCAAAGAAAATATACAAATGGCAAATAAATAGATGACAAGATGCCTAATATCAAGGAAACTGGAGGTCATGCTGCCTAATAATATCAAGGAAACTGGAGGCCACGCTTACTAGAATGGCTGAAGTTCAGCAACTCATCCAGGGAGGTATGGATTCAAACGGTTCACCTTTGAAATTTTCAAATATAAGATCAAATCACCTCTGAATACAGATAATTTTACTTCTGCCTTTCCAATCTGGGTGTGACTTACTCTTTTTCCTGTTGAAGGCCAGTAGGATTTACAGTTCAGTGGTGACATATTTAACCTGCCTTCTTGTTGATCATAAGGGAAAGTTTTCATCTTTACCATGGAGATGCAATGTGCGTTTTTTTATAAACGTTCACTATCATATTATAAATACTCACTTTCAGTCTGCAAAACCTATTCCATGGCACATCATAGCAGGCACAGCCCAGCCAGGTGTGCCCCAAGCCTCCGACACTCACCCCAATTCTTAAATGGAACCCAGATCCCATGCCCAGTCCCCCAGTCATCTTAGGATGCCTGCATGCACCTTCCCAACATCCAGGCTTGGAATAAGACACCATGTGAAACCCAAACTGTTGTAATCATATCAGACACAAAACCAACAACAAAAACTTCGCACACTCAGGTCTTATTGCAAAACCACAAACAGTATGACAATAAAAATCCAAAATCCACCAGTCCTAAGTGCTCCAATGAGAATCAGCTGGTTGAATCCTAAGGTACGGACCTTGAAAGAAGGATCATGAACTTCATCAAAGCATTCAAGGAGTTTAGAGAAGACACAAAGAAATAACATAAAGGGAATACATACCTTAGTACCGCCCTGAAGACACAAATATAGGCTGAAGGAAATGAGAAAGACACTAGGATTTGAACACAAAACTCAGTAAGAAATAGAAACACTGAAGAGAACTCAGGCTGAAATGTAGATGGAATTGGAAAAATTCTATCAATAATTCCATCAAATAACTCCAATAATTCCATCAAAAATTCCTTCAATAATTGAACTAGAAAACTCAGGAAAAAGTCTTTTAAATAGAACAGATTCAACAGAAGATAGAATATCAAGTCTCAAAGACAAAGGACAACACTCAGATCACACAAACAAAGAATATGAAAATTTCAACAACATTCACTTTCATTTTTGAAAGTTATGTCAACTGTCTGGTCATGCTGGCATTTTTCCCTTCTGGAAGAAGTAGGTGGTTGGTCATTCTCTCCACCTTTGCTTCTCTGTACCATGTTTTCATTTTTGCTATTTCCAAGATATTTCTTTTTCTCTCTTTTTCAAAATTTTGATGTTGATGTCTATCAGTACAATTTTGTTAACTTTCTTCTGCATGGGGCTCATTGAGTTTCTAGAGCTATGGGCTTGCAGAGGTAACTTTCAGTAATGGCACTGACACCTAACAAACAGAGACCAGAGCTGCTATTAAGTGACCTATGATGAACAGAACAGCACTCACAATGAGACATTTTCTGGCCCCAAATACCAGGCTAAAGGTTGAAAGTTTGATTTGCAATTTTCAGCAAATGTTAAGAATTTCAGCTATGTATTTTGTCCCTGTCTTCTCTCACTCTTTGATGCTCCCTGCTTCATTGTGACTGACTTCTTTTGCCACATCTTCCAGTCCACTGGTCTTTCATTACACAATGTCTAATAAGCTATTGATCCTGTCTAGCATATTTTCACTGTAGATCTATACTTCACCACCCTTTATATAGTATTTATGTGGCCTTCATGTCACTCTATATGATGCTCATGTTTTCTTCTACCCTGAAAATTAATTTATATGTAACATATGACAGCATGCAATAACATATTTACAAGCTGGGCCGTGGTGGCACAAGTCTTTAATGCCAGCACTCAGGAGGGAGAGACATGCAGATCTCTGTGAGTTCAAGGGCAACCTGGTCTACAAAGCAAGTTCTATTTGCTTTAGAAAGAGCAATGCTAGGGATAAGGAAATTATTTGGAATAAGCCACATCTAATTATGCACACAGATTTTCATTATATCATTGTTTGTGAGTAAACAGCCTAAACATACAATTGCTGGATGTTAGTTAAGTATGTTCCATTGCTGTTAAAGTTTTTGCACTGGGTTTAGAATTGTTTGTGGAACTTTTGCCTCTCCATATAAAAATAAGCAAGGTAAGCCATGACCAAGCTTGGTTTCTTTCCTGGTAGCACCATCTGAGCTGTTATGAGGGGAGGACAAAGTCTGTCTGAGCAGATTCCCTGATTTGAGCTAGACTTTGAAAGGGCACTGGAGAGGACATTCCTGCCTAGAGTTCCAAAGACCTTCGGATATATCCCTTTGGCTGAATACTGACAGGTGCATGTGTGAAAGGAAACTGATAGCCCAGGGAAAGGCACACTAGAAAGCAGTGGGTAGACATTTTCCTGAAGCTGACATAGTTCTAAGAATATTTTGTTTCTCACCAGTGAGGTTATGAGTGAGTCTCAAGAGAATCAGATTGATTTCAGGTAGCTTTGTTAACTTGTGCCAAAACAGAGCCCAACCTAAGGAAAGTAGTGTAACAAGATCTGGCAAAAAGGAATGTAAAGTTTACAATGCGTGACTTGCAGTAGAAGTCTTTTAAGAAAGCAAGAAAAAACACAGAAAATAGCCATGAGAACAGAAGAATAATAAAAGTGGATGCAGAAATGATGGTGTCTGGGGAAGCGGGATGGCTCAGTGGTTAAGAGCACTGGCTGCTCTTCCAGAGGTCCTGAGTTCAGTACCCACGTGGTGGCTCACAGCCACCTACAGTTTATGCAAATAGCACACTCATATACATAACATAAAAAAATCTTTTAAAAAATGATAGTGTCTTCGTTGGGGTTTTATTACTGTGAAAAGACACTATGACCACAGCAACTCCTATAAAGGAAAACATTTAATTGGGGACTGGCTTACAGTTCAGAGGTTTAGTCATCATTTGGCAGGGAGCATGGCAGCATGCAGGAAGACAGTGCTGGAAAAGTGGCTAAAAGTTCTACATCGGGATACAAAGGCAGCAGGAAGAGAGTGACGCTGGGCCTGGCTTGAGGATCGAAAACCTCAAAGCCTGCACCCAATGACACACTTCCTCCAACAAGGTCACATCTACTCCAACAAGACCACACTTTCTAATAGTGCCAGGCCCTATGAGCCTATGGGGGTCATTTTCATTCACACCATCACAGATAGAGATGCTAAAATACCAAAGATGTTAACATACCTACTGTAAAAAATTATACATATACATATATAATATACATATATACACATGTATATATATTTGGAGACAGAGTTTCTCTGTGTAGCCTTGGTTGTTATTAATGGCTCTAAACTTTTAACTCTTCTAACATTATCAGCAAACCTCTCAAAACCAAACAACAAACACATTCTTCCAGTTGATAGAGGAAGAATAATGCCAACTTTAGGCAAACTCTTCTGGAAAATGGAGAACAAAAAAAGGAAAACTAGTATCTGAACATATCTTCCATAAAATCATATTACTCCAGCTCAACTTCAGAACAAGACTACAGAGCTCAGCCTGGCACTGTCTTGCTTTTAATGGATGCAGCAATTACGAGAAGCGCCATTATTTTCTACAATGCTAAGAAAGAAAAACCAGTCAATAACTATGATCTACCATCAATTTCAAGACACAGTCAG